TTAGATCAAGAAACAGCACATGCAAGCATACCTTTCTTTCCATTAAATCTCTTATCCTCCGGAAATTATCATGGCGATATTGAGTCAATTGTACATCAACCTCTTCCTGGGTAGCTTGTGCTTCTTGACAACAGCTTTGGCTCATCATACACACTGCTCCGAGCTCCATGCTCAGATATTGCAATCACAGAATTTGATTGCCAAAGAAGAGCCTCTAGCACTCCTAAAGGGTCCCTCCTAAATTGAGATTTTGAATCCACCCAAATGGAATACTTTGCGTTTGGGAAGAGACGATGGGCCAACATCTGATGACAAAAAAGATATCAGTATTCACTGCAAGATGGTCAACATATTAACTCATATGAATGAATAGAAACCAAATATGTGATAAGGTGTACAACAAATCGACCTCTGATTCATGCATGATAGACAACTATGACCCCAAGACTATTTCATATCGATTGAGATGAGCCATTCTTATCTACAATTCAGTTGGGATGAAGTATGATAAAAAGGCTTTCAAAGAAGATCAATGAAGTTTAAAGTCCAAAATCAATCTCATAATAGAAAATTTTGTTAAGAAATAAACATGGTAATTAGTTCGGAATTGAGACCATCATCATCAATCATTGGTTCCTTTCCCTATGTGATAATGAACACCTGAGCGATCTCCTTTCATGTTGTTGTAAAGGGAGAAGGCTTTGCGATTCAGCTATTGGTTATTTGGGTGTCAAGTGGTTGTCATGCGGTTCAACTCGAAATGAGCTTTTAGCTTGAGATGGTCTTTGCTGTCATAAAAGCAAAAAAAAGCTTCTATCCCTTATCCCTCATGCCATCTTTTGGACTTTATTGAAAAAAGAAAATGAAAAGAAATAGGAGTGTGTTGGAATATTTAATTTATTTTCTTTGATGGTGAAACATGACGGCAAAGATAGCAGGGAAAAATGGAAGAACAGTAGAAAGAAAGAAGAATCCAGAGCTTGGAAATGAAGGAAGAAGAAGAAGAAGAAGAAAAGAAGATGGCAGTAAAAAATAATAATATATATGGCAGCAGCCATATGTATGTATATATATGTAGGACAGCAGTAAGTTTTTTAAAAAAAAGCAAGGGAGAAAAGGGAAAAAGCAAGGCGGTAATCTGGCCACCTTATATGCCACCTTGCCAGCTTATATTATATATATATATATATAGAGTCGCAGCTATAGATATATATATTATATATGTTTGGTGGCAACCATGAGGACCGCCTCTTGGTTGCCTATAAATATGGCCATAGGCCATATGGAAAAAGTTCAGAGATGAGATTGAGAGAGTCTTGAGTGGGAACGACGAAGAACTGAGATTGAGAGTCTTGAGTGAGAGAGATGTGTAAGAGCTGAGATTGAGAGAGTCTTGAGTGTGAGAGAGACAGAAAGTTTGGATAGTGAGGTGAAGAAGAAAAAAAGGATTTAGAGAGTGAGTGGTTAATTTCACAAGTTACGTATAACGGG